GTACCCACGCTGTACACAGGGTGCAATTAGAGAGACAGTCCATGTGTGGGTACTGTTTGTTACACTGTATTGTTATAACTGTTCTATTTTATTGGTTACTGTGGCTAATCTGTCGCTGGGCCTAATTTATAAATTGAACTTTATCACAGGTACGTATGTGCAGAAAAGTTCATAATATACATAAGTGCAGTACAATCCAGGCTTTCAGACGTCCACTGAGGGGTCTTGGAATGCATCCCCTGTGGATAAGGGTGAACTACTGTACGAATAAATTCCAATACTGGTAAATGTAATGCGAGGTAAGAATCTGTAGACATGGGAAAAATTTCAGGTGAATTTCTGGGAGGAAGCAATAAAGATGGGAAACCTAAACATTGTGAAAATATAACATAGTTCGGAGATTGGGCCAAAAAAAGCCAACTTAATATCGCTCTGGACAAACGTCTCCGATTGAGAACGTTGATGGATTCTTTCCCAGGGAATTCTCTTGGTTATTTTAACCAGGGAATTCTGTTACTTATTTAAAGTGGAAGCCAGTAGGAAAATGGGATCTAGAGTTTCCCTTGGAGCCAACTTTTCTGGAAACTCCCCCAAAACACCCTACATGGCAATCTGTGTCCTTTGAGAAATAGTTCCCTCCTGGGCAGCATTGATAGTAGAGCGCAGCTGCCTTCCAAACCTACGTCGCCCCTTCGCTTCCAAAGGGTTGATCATTTGGGGGCAACACTGGTGTCAACAAGACAGTGACGCTGCAAGGACTCTGAATCTGTGGCACTGGAGAGCTTATTGAGGAGAAAGGGCAAAACCTGGCAAAGGTCTGGGTTGCGCAGGGCATGTTAATGAGGGGTGGGGCTTGCTACCATCCACGTGTCCCCCTTGTGGTGATGCAGCTAAGGGGTGTATCCCAGCCCCCTGGCCTTTGGTTGGGGCCATGTGACTGAGTTCTGGCCCATAGGATGGGGCCGATAGTCACTATACACCTCTTCTACCCCTGTCCTATGATAATCTCCAACCCGTGAAGCTCCAATCTCCTTCCTCTTCTACAACCAGCTTGGAGGCTACCTATTAAAAGAAGGCGGCACCACACGGGGGAAGAGGACTGTATCCAAGAGTCAACATTTTAAAAAAGATTTTATTTATTTTTAGAGAGAAGGGAAGGAAGGGAGAAAGAGGGAGAGAAGTATCAATGTGTGGTTGTCTCTTGAGTGCCCCCAACTGGGGACCTGGCCTACAACCAATGCATGTGCCCTGACTGGGAATTGAACTGATAACCTTTTGGTTCACTGGTTGGTACTCAGTCCACTGAACCACAGCAGCCAGGGTTTGAGTCAACATTTTTAAGAGAACCAACCTGCAATGGATTGTGATTTGAATGAGAAATAAACCATTACTGTACTGTCCTTAGAATTCTGCACTTATTTATTAAAGCTAGTGTGACTTCCTCTAACTACTATAGAAATTATCTTGCAATGGGATGCCACTGGAGTGAAAACATGAATGTGTGGCAGGACCTCAGCAGGTGAGTAGCAGGATGTGAGGAACCTGAACATCTTTATTTTTCATCGGTACATTGTCTGAGGGGCCTCAACATCCCCACAGACCGACAGCTACTTCACCCTTCTTCCTTCCCTTTCCCAAAGGGGCCTGTCTGTTGTGTGCTCTGGTCCGCATGCCTTCGTCTGAGACTGAAGTTGCTTCCAAACCTGTGGAAAGGACAGCATCACAGGGAGCACCTTGAGCCCTTGGGCTTGGAGCTCAAGCCATTCTCTCTCCCATTTTGCAGCGACTTTAATGCTACACGTTGAAGATGGCAGTGACACAAGATGGAAGATCCCGGGGCCCGAGTCACCATTTGATTGTCTTGTGAATGAGAAATAGGCCTTCGTTGTGTTAAGATAGTGGGGTGTGGGGGTTGTCGCCACACCAGCAAAGTGTGGAAGTGAAGTTACTTTCACTAGCTGATATAAGGCTAGGCAATGCTTATATTTACAAAATATACCAAATAGGAGGAGTCATTTGAGAAAAAGAAGTCAAAGAAGTTTAGGAGAAATAGAAGTGTCTAGAACCTGATAAACCAGGGAAGAGAAGTTCAAGGAGTTGCCAATGGTATTTGTGATGGTTAATTCTCTGTGTCAACTTGGCTATGCCCTAGTACCCGGATATTTGGTCAAATGTTATTCTAGATGCTTTTAGATGGGAAGGTATTTTTTACATGAGATTCGCATTTAAATCAACAGACTTTGAGTGGAGCAGATTTCCCACCATCATGTGGTGGGCCTTGTCCAATCAGTCAAAGACTTAGTAGAAAAAGGCCGCCCTCCCCCCGAAGGAGGGAATTCCCCCAGCAGCCCGGCGGTGCAGTTAGCTGCAACACCAACTCTTTCCTGGGTATCCAGCCGGCTGGTTATTGCCCATGTGTCTCTGGAGAAACCTGACTGATATGGTGTTAAATCTACAAAGCAGCTGAAGGGATACAGACTTTGAAAAGGCTATTGTATTTGGCAAGTAGGAGGAGGAAGGGAGCAATTTCACTGAGCTCAGAGGGCTGAAGCTGCATTCTGAGAAGGAAAAGAGAAGTAACGTCCTAATGCTGGAGAGGAGCCTGGGTGGGGAAGGAAACCTTGGAGGCATAGGTGGGGGTGCTAAGCTCTAGGAGGAAGGGAGATGGGCTTTTTGTTTGTTTGCCTGAACTTGAACGCAGAAAGGAAAGTCTGGGTGCTCCCTGGGAGGTTTTATTCTGAGCAAATCACCACATGGCTCAGGAACGGAGGCGGGACTTTCTCCCTTCACGAACACCTGGAAGGTTCCACCATTAGTGATTCTGTTCCGCCCTCCCCCCCAAACGACCTCTACTCTTTAGCTGTTTCCTTTGACTTTCAACCAAAGCCTGGCTTATGTGCCTCAATCAGTGGCCCCCACTCCATCCCCACCCCAGCTCAAGTTAAAAACTGTATTAAGCCATTCCCCCAACCCCATCACACCCGCCCTACCCTGACTGCTGCCGTCTGGGCCTCTGCACCGTGGGCCCAGCTGAGCCACATCCTGACAGTCCCACAGTGTGGTCTCCCGGATGGAGTGGGTCCAGTCAACCCCGAGTCCATCCCTCTGGTCTTTGGTAGAAACGGCTGCTGAAAGCTTTCATCCAAAGGCTGATGTGGTGTCCAGGAAATCCAGTCTCCTCCCTTCTTGATTTGTGAGCTGTGGTCATGCTTTGTGCTCCTCTTTCTGCCTTCTTCCCTCTCTGAGCTATTCTGGTGCTTTGGCCTCTGGTGTCTACCAACTTGTCTCCAGCCCTCTCCGGCCAATCCACAGGTCCGGGTTTCCTCTCCCCAGAGTCCTTTGGAACTGGAGTTCATCCTCTGAACATCTTCAGGGCTGGGGACCAGCTGGGCTCATCCAGGGCTCAGACACAACCAGGCACTGATATCTTTCATAGCTTTGCTGATTCACCTGCGTTATCACAGCAACACCACAGGTACATAAATTCTCCAATCGCAAAGGGGCAACATCCTCTCTGTGTGCATGTAAGAAATGTTCAAACCTGCAGAGGATCGTTACACATTTATTTGAGCCAAACTGATGATCATGATCACTAAGTAAGCTCTCCAGTGCCCTGGAGAATGACAGTTGGCAGTTTCTTTTATACATTTGGGAGGGAGGGAGGAAGAGAGGGAGGGAGGAAGGTTACATGAAGGGAGGAGAAAGCAAGGCAGGAATCGGATGACAAGAGAGTTAACAAGTCACGTACTTTCTTGGGGGTGGCTATTCTTCTGAGGGGTCTGAAAAAGGCGGTTCAGACGTGTGTTAACCTGCATGCACAAAAACAAGGGCCAGGGCTTGCTCCGGGCAGAGGTGTACCTTTTCCTAGGGAAGCTATAGATTTGAGGCATGACTACCCAGCATGCCCTGCTCAGTTAGGAATTTATGATCCCATCAATGAGTGAGATCACTTTTGGTTAGATTTATCACAGTGCTCCTTCTCCATCCTCATCCCTGAGCCCTGGTCTCCCAACATGGTACCATGGTCCCTGGCCTCCCTCTCAAGGTTGTGTTGAGGTTCTGTTGAGAACTGAACCTCGTTTTGAGAGCCGACACTGCAAAGTGGAGATTAGAGGCAGCTGAGCATCGCCCTTTCTGGGGGGGGGGGGGGGGGGAGAAAGTTTCTCTGCCCCTTTGGCCTCTCCTACTTTATACTTCAAGGGGCAAATGGGGGTCGCTCAGAGGCGTGGGGGTGTGGCGCAGGGACTGCCAGCAGCAATCCAAAGGGACCAGGCAGGGCCTTCCGGACACTGAGGTCCCTTCTCTCACTGAACTGCCCTGCGCAGCCTTCGCACAGCGCAGCGCCATCACTCGTTTCATCCGTGGCTTTCCTCACGCAGACGGTGCCCTGTGACGTGCTCCACGCACTCGCGGAGCCCGGGCAGACTTGGCGCGGGGGAGGTGCTCAGAAAATTAAGTAATCGTTCCACCTACGAAGAATGACATGGGAAGATCTCAGAGGAGCGCCTATGACAGGAGGCGCGACTTGCTGGGCGTTCCCTCAGATCCCACTGTTTACACCAGGGGCCTCTCCAGGGACAGAATCGCCGAATGTGGGAGCCCTGGGGCCCAGTTCTCTCGTGAGGAAAACCAGAGTTTGTAGGCACGAAGCGACTGGCCAGTCACTCACTTAGCGTAGCAGAGCTAGAATGACCGGCCATCCCCGTCTGCCCAGGACCGAGGGGTTTCTAGGGATGCGGGACTTGCAACGCTCACACGGGGACAGTCCCGGCAAATCAGGACGGCGAGGGCTGGGGCTGGAACCCAAGGACCCTTCTTGCTCCCAGTCCCGCTACCCCTTTAGGGGGGTGAAACAATGTCCAGGTCGAACTTCTTTGCAGCCCCACCCCCATCGCCACCCCCCGCCCCCACAGGCAAACCCACAGGCGGCCCCCACAGGCAAACGACTGCTCTGGAACCGCCTTCCCCGTGCGCTCCCCCAGCACAGCCGGGCGGGGAGGGCGGCTGGTGAGGGCGGCCTCGGGGCACCGAGGTCCTGCGCCGAGGCGTGGGCGCGGGCGCGGGCGCAGGGACCCACGGCGGCACAAAGAGGCCTGGCCGCGGCAGTTTTGAAAATACCAAGAAGTTGATCTGGGCCAGGGCCCAAGAAGTGACGAAGAGGGAGGGAGCGAGGGCGGGAGCGCGGGGATCGGGCGGCCGCAGAGCTCGCCGGCCTCCAGCGGGGAGCGCGCGGGCGGCGGGATGGGCGGCGGGCCCGGCGCCCCCAGGCTGCGACCCCGCGAACCCTCCCCTACGCGCGCCGCCTCTGCGCCCCGGTGCTGCCGCAGAACTCCGACTCCCAGCCCGGCTTCCGCGGGCGGCGCATAGGGCGGCGATCGGGTGCCCCTCGTGGAACTGCCGGCTTTCGCCCCGGTCACCCCACCGTTGAACAGCCAGGAGCGAGGCCCTGCGGAGGCCCCGGCGCAAGGGACCATGAAAGGTAAGCCTCTGACGCTCGGGTTCCCAGACGAGACCCTGTGGGGACCACCACACCTAGGCGAGGCCGAGGAGAGGGGGACTCCCCGGGGCAGGGGCATGGCGGGGGGGTCTTCTCCCTGCCTGCCCGACCCCCTTGCGGAAGGTATTAAGAGCCCTGAAGTCAGGAAGAAGGGGACAGCAGAAGGAATGTGGAGAAAGTTCGGTCTTGTCCTGTTCATCGCTCCAGCCCTAAAAATCTGCTTTATATCCCAGAGGCGTTTCTGAGCCCTTTAACCAGCCAGCGCAGAAAGCTGTCACCAGCCCAGCCCTCCAGCTGTGTAAATCCCACCGGAGGACCCCCCTCAGGCTCCGGCAGCCCCCACCTAGCCTCCAGCCCAGCGCCAGGCCAAGGGTTTTCCTCCAGAAAGTCAACCCCTTCCTCAGGAGAGCCCCGCGGGGTCTGAGTCCCTCAGTCCAGGCTCTGCCCTTCCCAACCTCAGAACCCTGGCTGCCCTGCCCTGCCCTCTGACCTCCTGGGAACAAAGCACCTGGAAAAGACCAGTGGTCCAGACCTGAGCTGTAGATCCCCAGGGCAGTGGGTCAAAAGATGGTGGTCGTTGCAGCCAGTTCTTGGGATGGAAATAAGAATCAGACTTGGTCCCAGTGCTCCCACCTGGGCTGGGCTTTCATGAGGCCTGAGAAACGCGGGCTTGGTCTGCACTCTCCTTTTCGGGGTAAGAGAGAGGCAGGCTATGGGGGGAGGAGCCATCAGTGCTGTCCCCGTGCTTTTCATTAATCCTCCCTTAGCACCCACGCAGACGCTTGTGCTTCTGGCAGCGAGAACCTCACTGTCTCTTCGACTTAGTGTTGAATGTTGAAACTGAAAAGGATGTGCAAGGTCATCTGCAGGGCGTGCGGCTACACTCTCAGGTGATGCTGAAGGAGCGGCTGCTTGTGTCCTTTCCATATAAAGGTCTGAGGGTTTCTCTGATAGAAAACAGCCTCCATAGGTGAGGAAACTGAGGCCCAGACAGGTGGGACCAGCCTCATGGCTATGCAACCTGTGCATTCCCACAGGGCCCTGTGCTTGGGAGGCCTCGCACTAGGTTAATGTTCTCCTGTCACTGTCTTGGAATTCTTAATAATTTTTTTAACAAGGGACCCCCACGCTTTTATTTCACACTGGGCTCTGCAAATTATGTTGCTGGTCCTATGGGCAGGAGAAAGGACTTGCTTAAGATTCATAGCTGGTCAGGGGGAGTAGAGCCCAGGGCTCCTGACTTCCAGGCCAGAGCACTTCCTTCCCTGCGGCCCCTGGTCTCCTGACGGCCTCATCATGTCTTGGGCTGTCTAGCGTAAGGCAAGCTAGTTGTAATCAACCTCAGGGAGTTTGAGTGGCAGCAGGGAGGAGCCTCCCCCAGAAAGTTTTTGCTCTCAGCTACCACACCTACGGAGCCATACCATCTGCAGTGAGCCGGCTGGGGCAGGTCATTACCCAGCAGCCTCTGGGAAGGTCTCAGACCACATCTCACCACAGGCCTGGAGCCCATGCTGCTCTCAGCCTTAATGATGCTGCTTGAGACGCTGCGCAATCGCAGAGCGGTTTGGCTCCACCAGCCATCCAGACAAGCACTGCGAGGGAACACAATGCGGGAAAGATAGGCAGGTCCACAGTCGTCGAAGTGGAGGAGACACCCAGCTCCCAAGGAAGATGGGGTCGAGAACACGCGACCCACCTTTCTGAGACTCAGCGGGCAATCCCACTCCTCCGAGTGGAGGAGAAAAGAGTTGGTGTGACAATATTTAGAGGAGGTCCCTGGGGAGGGCCAACTGAAATGCGTCATCATGTCCTTAGGCTTCAGGGCCCCCCGGCTTGCCGACTGGGAGGCTGAGGAAGATGTTTTCGGCCCGCCCCTCTCACGTCCTTTTCCTGCTCTCAGCCCACAGCCTCGGCAGCATGTGGGGCCCAGTTCCCGCCCACTGGGGCCTTCAGGGCAGCTGTCGTGTATTTTTCCTCCAGTCTCCGGGAAACCGTCCCATGTTCTCCCATAACGAACCGGGACCTGGGCTGCGGGACTGCAGGGCTTCGGGGAACGAGGAGTGAGGCCCAGCGCTTCCCTGCAGGGTCTTCCAGGGTCCTCCCCAGGAGCCAGGAGTTGCCGCCACCTCTGCTCGAGATGGAAAAGGCAGGGCAGACAGCAAATATTTGGCCTTTGGGATCGGTGGAGTATGAAAAATCAGGATTTTTTTTACCCACATGGAAAAAGTAAAGTGCCCGGCGGAGCAGGGCGGCCCCTTCCAGAGCAGCCCTTCCTGGAGGGGAGGCTGGCTTCTCCAAAGGCCCACCACTCGGAGAACTACGTCTGTTGACGAAGGTTCACCATGCCCGCTCAAAGCAAAACATGGTGATGTTATGTTTGTGGGGGAGAGGGGTTTTGGCAGGGATGGTACTTACACAAGAAAACACGTTCTCTGAGGAGCACTGCCACCAGTGGCCAGGTGCCAGGGCTGAGTCTGCCAGCCAACCTGTTTCCACCCCGAGGCCCCTCCTGCCTGCACACCAGCCAGGCCTCCTGGGCAACCGCATCTTTTGATGTAAGCTGGCACCTGGCCCCAGGTGCAGCCCTGCTTACACCCGAGGGCCCCAGAGCTGCCTCCAGCCCCCTGGTGATGGGCCCACCTCCGAACTTCCCGATGGCTTGCCTGAGCCATTCAGGGCCACCTGTGGGATTGTTTCCACAGCTCTGATGAGAGGAGCCTGTCGTGGGAGCCCTCCCAACTCTGGGACCCCCACCCCCGACCCCAGAAGCAGCTCGGCCCTGCGTTCACAGTGTTGCCCTCTCTGGGTTTCTGCCTTCTGGGTGTCCCCGAGGCCATCCTGCTTTGATGCACTGCGGAAGCAGAAGTGACTTGGTGGAAAACTGTTTACAAGCAGGCCTGCTGCCTGGGCCACTCTATGCCTCTGGGAGACTTGTCCTCAGCTGCCATGGACCACAGGGCAGAGACATACCCCACCATTCTCCAAGCAGGGGAGGAATAGCCCCTCCCCCAGAATCAGAGAGCAGTGATGCTCACTGCCTGTGGGCAGAGGGCAGGCGGGGCAGGAGGGGGCTGTGGAACACAGCAGTTCCACAGCTCAGTGAGGGGGATCATATCCACTCATGAGTGGGCAGACTGGGTTCCCTTTGGAAGCCTGACCTCCTTTCCCAGGCCTCAGGGCACTAGAAGGAGCCTGAGACTAGAAGAAAAGGAGCGGATGTGGCAAAGGCGCAGCGACCTGTTAAATGGCCCGGGTCAGGGGAGGGGGAGGGGCTTAGATGCTGGGGATCAGCTCCAAACTCTCTCTTACACACGCACCTGTCACTTGCCATCCAGCTAGGATACTTTTAATAACGGCAGATTCACATCCCATAGCTAATTGCAGAGAGAGGAAAAAGAATTCCACTTCTCAGTAGATGTTCGTGGATAGCATGGTGGTTTTCATGAAGGACAGGCAGCTGTGCTGGGCGCTGGAATCAGCAAGTGCAGCAGCATGACACACGGCGTCCGTCATGTACACACTGCCCATGTCCATCGCGTTTAATTTAGCAAGTGCGTGTGTGTTGTGAGCACCAAAGCCCAAGGTCAGGCCTCGCCCTGTCCCAGACAGGGACTACACACACACACACCACACATCACCCCCAGAACAGAACTGTAATGCCCACAGGGTAGAACGAGAGCGTGAGTTCATGAACGTGGGGTCCCCGTCTGCCCCTTTGCTGACTCACTCCCGCACAGTGCCCGGCCCATGGGAGGTGCCCCCTACATTCGCTCGGTGGGGGCGCCTGGGTCCCCCACCCAGCTGGAGTCCTTAAAGGTAAGTATCACACCACGGTATCCCCACCTCTAATGGAGGTATTCGGTAAAGATGCATTCTTCTATTTAACAAGCATTTTTATTGAGTAACTGCTAAGTGCCAGGGCTCGTATATCCATGTGTGTCTAATGTCCAAGGAAGACGAGAAGAAGAGCTCAGACACTGCTCTTTCTCTCAAGGAGCTTACCCGTTGCTAGCACACTTCAGATGTGTGCCCAGATTACTCGAAAAAGACTAGAAGTGGTAAGTGTCACAGGAGAAGCCCCAGGAGGCTGTCCGGGTGGTACTGGTTCTTTCCCCGTCTCTCCTCTGCTCCTTCTCCTCTGGACGAGTCTGTGGTTTCAGCCGTGAGCTCCTCGTTCCTTCCTGGACACCCGTTCTTCGAACAGTCCTGCCTGGAGTCGTAGATGTGTCACGGGAATAGGTTGATGACACCTCTCTGAGCTCCAGACTCATCTTTCCACCCGAGTCCCGAAGGTCTCCAGGTGCAGACCTGCAGACGCCTCCTGCAAGGCCCAGAGGAGACGCCCGTATGTCCACCTGAAGCCAAACTGGAACGCTGGTCGTTCTGGGGTGTTGTTGCACGCTTTTCAGTCAGCAAACAGGTGTTGAGTACCTGCTTTGGGGGGGAGGCATGCAAATTTAAAGGCAAACAAGGATGGTTCCTGCCTGCAGGCAGAGACCCTTAAGAAAACCGGACAGTCCGGGAAGAAGATGCAGAAGAACAAGTGGGGGTGTCTCTGGTAGATCCGATAGGAATTACTGGAGGTAAAGAGAATGGTTCTAGTGGGGCGGTTCAGGAGGACTTTGGGGAGGGTTGAGGATGGGCAAGATTTGGATGGGGCCACTCAAGGGACAGTCAGAAGAGGCAGGTGATCGTGTTGGTGAAAGCTGGGCATCATGTCATTGGGCAGGTGTGTTTAGGGGTGGTGGGTGAGATTGGGGTGATATTTGTCTGGAGTTGAGAACTGGCTGAGAGACACAGGGAGTCATCGGACCGGGAGGCCTTGAGTGCCATGCTAAGGACTTCCAAATGTGTGTGTTGACACTGGGGAGAATTGGGACGGGTTTGTCAGGAGATAGCTTGGTCGCTGCTTCTCCCTGGAGACGCTGGGGAATCTCTCCTTTTGGAGAATGAGAGGAAGAAAATGAACTTGCGAGGGAGCC